TTGTGGACGTCACGAGGAGTCTAAGCAGGTGCTGTTTCTCATACAGTAGAGTAACGTTTATTCAAGCTTTAATTGGTCGATCATGGTTTCCGTGGAGTAAAAGTGGATACAATCTGAAGATGATGCAGATCGTTGATACATGATCTTTTTATAAGCAGCTTTACTCACTTATTCTGTTGTTAGTAACTGGAAGTAAGTGCTATAATGAAGCCTCTCCATAGATTCCATGCTAATAAATTCCCGTGTTCTTCAATACCTCCTGGATAGTGTAAGGTGAAACGATGGATTGAAATTGAGTGAATTACAGTTTTGATTTACTGTCTTGTTATCTTAATCTGGAGAACACCACGTACGATATGGCTAGAGTAATCTGTAACGTTACTAGCTCATGCTGCTCTATTGGATGCTTAGGAGATTCGATATCGAAGTTATGGCTGAAGAGGTACTGAAAAGACGCTATCTCCTTAGGTTAGTACGGGTAAGAGACAATCGAACCTAACACAGGCGTACAGAAGCATGGAGTGAGATTAGTGAAAACGTCTACGATAAATGTTATCGCTATTTGAGCATAGATCAGATAAAACGAATTTGGCGAGCGAACAACAATTTGAGGTACTACTCTTGCAGAAAAAAAGTAACTTGCTATTTTTCTTGACAGCAAGTTAGACTTACCACAGAAGCCTCCCCAGCTACCATGTCGAAGTTATGGCTGAGGAGGTACTGAAAAGACGCAATCTCCTTCAGAATTGTACGGGTAAGAGACAATCGAACACAAAACACAAGCGTACAGAAGCATGGAGTGACATTAGTGAAACCGCCACGTATCGTAAACAAATCCTTTGAAAAAGGCCCTTGCAGAAGCCTTAGGCTCAATGAGCATTAGACGAGAAAATTGCTAGAGCGCTCAGTCCGGAAATCAGCTTTGGGTGTCTCCGGGTCGCAGAAAGCGCTGTCTGCTTGAGTGATAACTTACCTACAATTATCTACAGCGGTTACGCTAATAGTTTAGTTCCCTGAGGTTTTCAATTCTGGAGATCACAAAATTATTGCAGCAAGTGTCGATAGTGAGTTGTTCACTATCTACACTACATTTTCCTTGCGTCATGTATACAGTTTGAGAGCGACAGCGGCAGTTACTTTGGGTAGATACCTAAAAGCATGATCGTCGAAGCCAAGGCATTCCTCGACATACTAAGTAAGTTCGCATATCTGGCACGAGCTGAACTAGAGGTGGCTCTGCCTTCAAACCCAAATGACATGACGATGGAGCTGGCACGAAGCTGCAAAAGTTTTGCGGCGGTCTGCTTGTTGCCAGTCTGCGAGTTCACGGAATTGACAAGTTTCCGTGATGTGTAGCACAAGAGCTTGCCACATTATATCACAAAGAATCCAAATCAATTGTCTTTGGAATTGCTTCTACTCCAGTAATTTCAGAAAACGGACCAAACTCTGTCTCATTTTGGCACTATTGAAGTAATCGCTAGCAGGCCACAATCCAGCAAATTAGTTAAGCCGTCTACTCTATCTAAAAGGGTAGTGTGGATTTCATTCCATATATGCTCTTGTGATTATAACCAGTAAACCAAACTTTCAGCGACTCGCTAACCGTAGAACGCAAACTCTGACTGTCGGTGACATACAGCTGATTCAGCCAAATATACAGGATGCGCCAAAATTACCGGCGCGTGTTTCCGGGCGCCAGAAGGATACTAGAAGGGTTGAGGACGGATATATGCGTTTGTTTTCACCTACCATCATATGATAATGCAATAGTCAAATTAGAATTTGGCTGCTTTATCTCTCGAAAAAATCCCAAATCCTCTCGCCGCCGAAGTGTGCTCTGTACGCAAGCAGAACTTCGAGAAATTACGTAACATCTTTTCAACAACGTTTTCTCTTGCTTTTCAATTGCGCACGAAAATAGAGCAAGCCTTCTTCTCTAATACAGCTAATTACGAGAATTTGAAAATCAATCCGAAAAAATATGTGTTTTCTCAAAAACATGGTTGAGAGGCGGCATACCGAAAATTGGCGTAATTTTGGCCTTCCTGAGTGCGCCTTAGGATCAGAAAATGTCTTCTAAATCGAATTTATAACTACCTCAGCTAGTCGCTTCTATCTAATTGCTCTTCTACATGTCTTACAATTAGGGAACTGTTTCTACTTAAAAGGTTTTGCATATCTGGCGCATAATAATCGATTTTGAACATAATACATTGCAAGTACGCAGGTATTTTTCGCAAATACATTTTCTAATTTCGTGAAGGAAACAAATTCTGCAAATGCGACTAGACCTAAGTGATAGCACAATTTGTACTCTACAATCTCAGCATGTAAGTATTTGAAAAAGCTTTAAGTTTCTCATTTACAGAGCAAATTATGAAGGTATAAGAATTTCATTTTCGCCTTTCTTGGAAATACTGGTCTGCTTCTTTTAATCCTCAAATTCTTGAAAAGAGGTCTTTTTGAATTCAATATAATGCACTTTGTAGAGATTGATTAGTGCCTTCCATGGCACAAATCTGAGCTTTTATTTTTCCATGGTTCCTTTGTGGCAGTGTTTGTAGAGTTGGCGCCGGTAATTTTGGCACACCCTGTATACCTGGTCTCTTTCACATAACGGCGTTTCGTTGATGTTTTTCATGATACGATATGATAAGATTATTTTCGCTGAGCTTGTGTCTCTGATACCTCTCAGTCTCTCTCATTTTCCATGTATGTATGTATGTATATTTGCATGTTCAATGGAATGCAGCATTTGCAGTCACTAGCGAAGCGCAGGTGTAATAGCTCACGGCAAGAGTCAGTTCTGTACGAATTTGTATTAAAATAGCGCCCTGCCGAGAAGCCCCGAGAATGGGTTGCGGAATTTTTGAAAAATACTTATAATAGGATAAAGGATAAAGGATTCGGCGTTTTCAGTATCTGCTTTTATCCTCCCAGATTACTGTGGTGCCAATTTACCGTCTCCGAAGGGTAGAGGGCTTGGTTGGCCCAGGGGCGGGATCATCTGGTGATAGCGGAGCCTAGACCACTACGCCACTCGTCCTCTAAGTTACTTATAAGGGTTATAAAAATGTGCAAGTGACTTGTTTATACTTGTTAATAATTAAAATTTTCAAAATTTTTCAGAAACTCGAATTAGCCAAAAAAATTTTTCGGGGCGTGGCCGCCGCTACGCCAGTTCTATCTAGTATTTTGGGGTCATGAGCCAACAAAAATTTTGGAAAGCATCTTAAAAAATTTTTCGTAGTGCGTAATGCTAACGGCACGCGCCATCATTTAGAAAATTTTTTGTCGCCACCCCCCCTCCCTCCGGTACGAAATCCTGGGACTGCCACTCCGACACGGTTACTTGATTAGCACATCTAGTAACCCCGCCAAACATTTTTCGGAGAGACCCATGCAAGAGTAAATCTTAACTTCGTGTACCGTGCCTACCACTTCGCTAAAAGCTGCAGAGCACCATTGTTGGTCAGCACGCGCAGCCTACCCAGTCTTCTCCCAGAAATATATGCAAAAGGGGTTTCCTAACGTATATCTATCGTACCTCCATGTCCACAAACTTAGAAGATGCGCCTTGCCGAGCTGCGTTGAACGATGTCCCTGGATGCAGAATTGGTCCAGTTTGAACTGAGTGCGACGTTGCGACGCGGATTACGGTGAACACCGGGGAAGTGCGCCGGAGTTTACCGGAGCGCGGCGACATTTTTGTACTATGAGCTGTACTGTACGTTGATAAGTAGGCAGTGTGTGTTGTTTCGAAGACTGCAATCTTTTTCTGCAACATGCTTTTTCAAAGGCTATGGAGTCAGAAGGAGTTCAAAAGCGCTGCTTATGAAAAGATTTGAACTTGCAATTCTACGCGAATTACCACGCTCCTGCACCATATAATACGCTGCGGTGCCTCTATACCAACTTGCTAGCCCAAACTTATGATTTTCTAATGAAAAAGCGTTTTCGCAGATAAAGACTGTAGTTTTCAAATTAGCATTCATCACTGATTCCAGCAGCGTATATATCTCGAATGGCCATTTCTACTATAGTCGTCCTCACCCTACTAGTCAGTCAGTGGACGGATTCGAATTCGAATTCGAACAAGAGCAGGTCAGTGGCGGCAGAGTATGACACCTAGACCCTTAGTTCAGGTTTTGCGCATGTTTCTTTATAGTTTTTTCACTGTAATTGTTTGTTAAATTCGTGTTATAAGTATGGTCGTTTTCAAAATACTGTTTTATTGTTGTCGAGTAATGTTTTGTACTCAATGCTTGTTACTTCAAGCCGTAATTACAGAAACTATGCAGATGGGAAATCTCTGCTGTAAATATTTTCGTTTTGTATGAAACATGTGCAGATGTGTTGTTTCAATGATAAATGTAACAAAAATTTGACGTCCGCATCGTTTCTAGCAGCTCAAAGTAAATCACCTAGACAAAAACCTAGCATAACTGCGCCAAACAACACTCAACAATAACAAAACGCAAAATTGACTAGAAACTGTCATAGTACATAAACTCACAAGCAACGGTGTAAAAAACCAAAAAGAAATATGCGTAATGAACTGAGGGTTCGGGTGCCGCGCTCTGCAGCGACCGGCCTGCTCCAGCTCGAATACAAATTCGTCCGTTTAGCCGACTAGTGGGATGAGGACGACTGTAGGAAGACATTCCTTGTTAGATGGGGTAGGAAGGAGAATTTTATTGAATTAATGTGATGATTTCTAGAATGGAATTTCACAAGTATGTTACGCATTTACTATTTCAAGAGTGATTTGCGCGTTCACCTTTGGCACCCTTGACATGTGACTTTGAAGAACTTTTGTTTCGGTACAATCGAAAAAAATTTTATCCGTTACTACTCTGTATTTCTGAAATTTGTATTGCTTGCAATAGCCTCCTATCAAACTCTTTGACGCTCATTCTCGTTGGTTTTGGCTTATCATCTGCTTGTCTTATTCTGTAAATCTACTATTTCTTTCATTTAGTGGAACAATGCTTTTCTCACTTCTTCACCAAATCTTCAACGGTTAGTCTGTCGTGTTGATCTCTTGCCCCTGCTTTGAATACGTTGTACTGCCATCTGAAATGATATAATTGGGATTACACTACACTTGAAACGAATGATTACCCCTTCACTACAGCCAAACAGAAAGCTGGAGTGCCGTCGATGTTGTTCAGATCGGGAATTGTCCAATGTACCTCTAAAGTGTTATGGTCAGAAAACAGCTGTTTGTCATTCACATTATTCACATTTTGTTAAAAAGATCCTATTTGAATTTTAGTAGAGGCAGGCTAGATTTCGGTAAAAAAGACACGATTTTGATTTCATGAAACAATAAACATTTGACTATGCTAATCAGAATACATTTTAAATCACGATTATATTAGGGTGAACGGCAAAAAATGGGACAGCTCGATTTTTACTACATTTTGAAACTTTTTGTTTCGATCAAGAGCAAGTAGGCTGCAACTTGAACGTCACTTACATAAGCGGCCTTCGCCTATTATTCTGGTAACGCGTTGAAGGCAGCGTCCAGGCAAGTCTAGACACATGGGATCTTACGTGGATAGTAATTTTGGGGCCCTAACTAAGCTACTGCCCAACCGGCAGCTCAGGTAGTGCTCTAACAGCTAAGATATTCCTTTCAAAACTGGACCCCGCGATCGTATTCCGCATGGATTCATGGCGTAAAGCGTGGATCCTGGCGCGAAACTCCCATGAATCCATGCGAATACGATCGCGGGGTCCACTTTCGAGGGGAATATCTCAGCCGTTGGAGCACTACCTGCGCTGCTGCTTGGGTAGTGGATTAGTTAGGGCCCAGAAGTACTTTCCGCGTAGAATCCCCATAGGTCCAGATCTGCCTGGACGCTGCCTTTAACGCTCCTCTCCCACAATCCTGCGCGTGGCCCCCTAAAGAACTCGAACAGGGTTTTTTAAACATCTCTCATACTTGCGCTGCTATACCGTAAAAAGAGCTATGCTCTTTCAAACACTGTATTGAACATAAAGGATTCCCTTTTATTTCTGGATAGAAAACCAAAATGCTTCAAAAGTCGCAATTTTTTGACGCATAAAATCCAAAAAATCATGTTTCAACCTATATCTTCCGATGTTTAATTTTTGATATAGATGTTTCTTGAGTTGAACTGCATATGGATGGATTAAGCGTAAAGAGCTCTAGATGGTAGCCAGATAACCTGCTTTCAACTGCGAAGAAGTAAATAACACGCATCTTCGTTCCGGAAAATGCTGTGACCATATCTCCTGACTTTAAACGTTGCGGCCAGCAAGCCATGGTGGGTTTGGTGACTGTACCTTCATCCATTGTCGCAGTGTTTTCTTGGAAGGTCTCACATGTTTTGCTCGCAGATACCGCTCGCAATTTATAACTTGTCGAAGTGACTAACTTTGTATTTCAGCAAGTGCAAAAACTATTAAATATGTTGATGACCTTATATGGGTGTCATCCGAGAGAGAACAATATATTCTAATATCTATCAAAATTGGGAAGTTCAACCACTTCTCTTTCTTGAGAAATCTATAGTTTTCTCTGGGTGTCCCATTCTTTACCGTTCACCCTAATATCTCGGATTTCAGATGTTTTGGGAGGTGTTCACAATGCTTCCAAGGGATGTCACTTAACTTAGTATCGCGTTTCAAGATCACTACGTAATATATTTTGGAATCGATGTTTACCCATTATTACCCCTGATCCGTGGAACATGGCAAATGAGGAGGCAGCAGACGGAGAAATTATGATGAAACATACTGATTTTTGACTTTGGATTGCTGCCAAGTGGCATGCGTTTTGGAATGCTGCCAAATTTCAAAACCAAGTGACCAAGCTTATTTTCATAAAAGGGTATATAACACGTATTTCGAAAGGCAATCATGAGTGTCGCAATGATTTTGAGAATGGGTCGCCATCCGGGTGTGTTATACTTGTACCTCCTTTTTTTTCGCTTGTTATTCCAGTGTCTTCCAAATATGTCGTACTTCTATTAGTTGGTTTTGAAATGATGCCAAATTGCGTAACAGCGTGACTTGAGCTAAAGCATCTATGTTCTCAACTCTCGGTAAAAATGCTTCAAGAACAGTCACTTTAGGATTATCTTGCTTCCGCGTGTAGACAAGAGAGTGCGTGAGTAACTTGGCCTCGCTGATACTTTTGAAAGCGTTTATCTAACAACAGCCTTGCTTTGCTTGTGTAACTGGGTCCCGCTGGTGCTTTCAACTAGGTATCGGTGTGTAAGCGGCACGTAGGGCAATTCGATCACTACATAATATAATTTGGAACCGTTGTTTACCCAAACACCCCTGGTCCGTGGAACATGGCAAACGAGGAGGCAGCAGACAGAGAAATTATGATGAAATACACTGATCTTTGTCTTTGGATTGCTGCCAAGTGGCATGCGTTTTGGAACGCTGCCAAATTTCAAAACGAGTGACCAAGCATATTTCCGTAAAAGGGTCACATGTATTTCGAAAGGCAATCATGAGGTCGGATTTTGAGACTGGGTCGCCAGTGTCCGGGTGTCCGGGTGGTTATTTGTGGCTGCTTTTTTTTCGAGCTTGTTATCCTAGAATTTGTCTTTCAAATATGTTGTACTCCTACTGGTTGCTTTTGAAATGATGCCAAATTGCGTAAGAGCGTGACTTGAGCTAAATTCATCTATGTTCTCAACTCTTGGTAAAAATGCTCTAAGAACAGTCACTTTAGGATCGTCTTGCTTCCACATGTAGACAAGAGAGTGCGTGAGTAACTTGGTCTCGCTGGTACTTTTGGAAACGTTTATCTAATAACAGCCTTGCTTTTGCTTGTCAATGGGTCCCGCTGGTGCTTTCAACTAGGAATCGCTGTGTAAGCGGCACGTAGGGCAATTGCATCGGGCAGGGAAACAGATTTTTGTACGCTTGGGGCAGTTCTCAGAATTGAAATTCTAAAAGCGGCATGTACGGCAATTTGAGACTACGCTGTAAATACTTGATTTCGTTGTTTTCTTTCCGTAGAGTCGTAAGGGTGGTTTTTCTTATGTATACGGTCTTCAAGCGGCACATAGGCATAAACTTTCTTTTGAATAGTTATTATCGGTCGGTAAGCGGCACTTGTCGGTAAGCGGCACTTAGGGCAATTTGATCGGGCAGGGGAATAGATTTTTGTTCGTTTGGCGCAGTTCTTATAATTTTTAAACGATCTTCAAGGGCAAGCAGGGCAACTTGATCGGGCAGGGAGACAGATTTTTGTACGTTTGGGGCACTTATAATTTTTGAACGGTGTTCAAGCGGCACATAGGGCAATGCCAGGGGAACAGATTTTTATACGTTCGGGACAGTTCTTATAATTTTTAAACGGTCTTCAAGGGCAAGTAGAGCAACTTGATCGGGCAGGGGGACAGATTTTTGTACGTTTGGGACAGTTCTTATAATTTTGAACGAGTGTGCTTTGCTGTTTATGCTGTGCTTGTTGTGGGTGTATATAACTTCCAAAACGATAAGTGTTCTTCTACTTCCTTGACGATCTTCTATGGAAATTGTTGAGAAGAACTGGAAGAGCAAATTTTCTTTGAGAGGGTAGAAAAGATGGGGGGGGGTGTCTGAATGTCTCTATGAGGAGGGGAAATTTGCAGAAAGAGCGTGGTAAACGAGGGAAAAATAATACCCCATGCATGGTTGCAGCAGGAATTTCGAGAAATGCTGAATGATTTGTGGAGATTATTGCTTTTTCGAACAGTTCTCCTTTTGTAGAATGCTTCGCAAAGATGTTCTCAGCAAAGGCTTAGAAAACTTATTTAGAAATATTTGTAATCACAACTAAGCCCTTATATTGTATCTGCCCCTACCCACTTGCTAGCGACCCGTAGTGTCGCTAGTGAGACACATATATTCGGAATCAGCTTCCAACGTTGATTCCGAATATGCTGTTCCTAGCTGCGCACACCATTCCGAAGCGAGTTTTTGATTTCTTCAATACGCGAATTCGGCGTATCATTTAGCATGGAAAGAATGCCTATAAACCGAAATTTGCGTGGAAAAGTGCTGCACCATCAAAATCAAAACAGATCAAACCCGTTGTCGCTAACAAAGAACTTAACGCAGTGTACTAACATTCAGATGTTAGTACAGTAACCCCAGTATATCAAATACAGTCGAATCATCTCATATGATCATGTGGTATATGCACACAGCATCCATCTTTGGCGCTCCCATCCTAGATGCGCAATTACAACAACGCAAGATACTGACCAATTCTAATCGGCATCAGTTAGTGGAGATTGGTACCAAATATGTGAAGAAAACATGAAGAAATTACTGAAAGGATTTAACTCAAGTGGTGTCTGCTCCTAGAATCCCGGATAGGGACGCCAAAGGGACAGTGTGTGCAAAAACACACTGTCCCTTTGGCGCACCATGATCGTATGAAATGATTCGACTGTAAGTCATGCAATTTCCGCGCATAAAAAAAACCAATAACTCGTTTCGGAATGGTGTGCCGCAGCTAAGAACAGCATATTTGGAATCAGCGTTCAAGGCTGATTCCGCGTATATGCGTCTCATCTCGAAACTCGATACTAAGTTAAGTGACATCCATTGTCAGAATTTTGAAGGTAAAAAAAGAAAGAAATGCATTTGTGGTAAATTACGCTAGTTTGCAACTTCTCTTGAATAACAGTGTACACAAATAAGCACCATGCTCTCACATACGAACGCACTCACCGTTGGAAACTAGAGAAGGATTTCGTATGATAAGAACACCCCATGCTCCTCCATACAAATCTTCAATAATTCGACGAATCATCTAAAGAGGAAGATAAATAACAAATATACATTTGTCAGTTTCCTCACAGCTCATTCGTATTCATACTCATAGCACCTATACTCTCGCTCAAGAAAGAAAGTCGCCTAAGAAAAAAGGAGGGAGGATTAAGGGCGACTTAGGAGTCGACCAATAACATTTGGTAAGGAGGATTAAGGGTGACAGTAGGAGTCGAACCCTCAACAATCGGTAAAAGACGGAGATTATCGTACTTTTGGAGCGGCAGTACTTTTACCACGCTAAGAAACATCTTTGAGATACAGGGTTCGTTGAATGCCTCACAAGTTAAACGTACAACATCATATTGAATATCATGAATACATACCTGCATCTGGATGGCTGGATCTTTGGTTACATCGGTCGCTCGAACAATGATGGAACGTACTGCTTGCATTGGGCAGTTTTCCAAAGCTGAAGGCAATAGTTTCTATATTAGTTACCCAAGAACCTGTTTGAAAGGTACTTAGCCGTCACTAAATATTCAAAATAATGCTCCTTATGATTTCCCTTACCAATTTGGATTGAAATTAGCTTCTAAAGGCCATTATTACCGAAATTGTCTCATCCAAATTGACGAAGTCTTGCAAAATTCGATCACATACAGTACATTACAGCTTGATATAAAAGCAAAGCATCGGAAGTTTGATATGTGTGAAGTTTTGCAGACTTTGAGAAGGTAAGATACAAATCTTAGCCCCGGAAAATCCTGTAGACCTCCAATTCTACATGAATACATATAAAAATAGAACTCAAAAATTTTAGTTTGGAGGGTATTGCGAAACGAGAAATTGTAGAAACGAACGCCGCTCGAGCATTTGAGCTGAAACTTTGCACACATGTCTTCGACTCTTGCGGAAATGATAGGCTCCTTTTACGGCTATTCGTTGGGTCCTTCCATCGGTTTATCGAATTGTTTACGTTTTTCTAAGGAAATGAAGGCTCATCATTTGAAAAAAGTATTTTCCCATAGTCATGCAAACGAGGGCGGTGAATCTCAGTCTCACCTCAGGATCACAAGGATAATCGAAGTGGATGTCCCAGGTAGGACATTGTTAACATGGAAGAGGGGAGGGGGACTCGCAATGGTGTTATCTTTACTGACAGCCTATAGCATCTAGCCCACAGCCAGTGAACAACGGCCCGGGCTGGACCGGGAAAGCTACTAGTATAATATATTATCCTCAATTTACATCCAAATATAAGCCCGTTGTACTTTTGTTTGAATCTCAAAAACTGGCTAGCTCTGACCGAAATGAGACCTTCGACATAATCAATCACTACAGGGTGCTATAAGGAATACTCTGTTGGTGCAAAAGTGTTGTCAGTTCTTCGAATCCACCAGCAATTAAGGCAATTATACAGATATCTTGAGCAGTATCCGATGTAAAATCTTTCACGGTGTGACTTATTGAGAGATTGCTGGGATAATCGCTGGAAATTACAGTACTTTGTTCTTGCCATCTAACTTTCGCTTCCAAAATTTCTACTTGAGAATCTTGGAGGGTAACTAGCAGATAGACTAATCATTTGATTTTCTGTGGCACAAATTCTTTGCGAAATTTTATTTTTGCAGAGAGCTCCTGGCTGTTTTTCTCCGAAGAAACCAAAACTCGCTTGCTCTCCTTTTTAGGGACAAAGTAACGTTTCTTGAGAGTAGCTAAAAAGATGGATTTTTTCTCACCTGTACCATCTCCCAGCTCAGAAGATTTGGCAAAAATCCACAGCATGCTCATTCACCCCTCATTTGCCAACTTCCAGCCGCGTAACTCGAAATTTGCACAAAATCGATAAAACTGATAAAGGTAATCGATAGGACCGATATAATATCTAGTAATTTTGTAATCAGCATGCTCACATACACCCTTATGTCCTCCTAGCCGCAGCTCAAAAAGAACATATCTGCTCCACCGTGAGACCCATAGTACAAACACTTCTCTCTCAATAATGGCTGCTGGCCTCTCCTCCCGTCATCATTGAGCATTCCTTTCTAGAATCCTCCAGAAACTGGACATTCCTCAGACTTGGGTGGAGGGATAGAGAGAAGGAGAAAACTCTGCCTTAGCGGTTGGGGGAATCCAGTGCATATCATATAATAGTAAGGATGTATGATGCGGCCAATGTGGTGGTCATACTATCAGGCCGGATTATAAAAATCGTTTCAGATTTTCGCTTACGGAAGGTTGCTCAATGAGTGTAATGAATAAGCACACTGAGTAACCTAGCGTAAGCAAAAATCTAAGGCGATGAGATATGATCTATTATTGCGTTCAAGCGGGCACTTCTATATATAAGAAGATGCGCCACGCCGAGCTGTGTCGAATGGTGTCCTTGGATCAAGAATTCGTCCACACTGAATCGAGATATGGCCACATTACGGTGATGTCAAATGAATCGGGCAACTGTGCGTCGTTTTTTCAAAATTGTGAGCAGTATCATGGCGGCCTGCGGCGACGCTTTAATCTCGCACCTCACTGGGCCAACCAAGCCCTCTACCCTCCTGGGAAGGTAAGTTTGTACCGGAGTAGTCTTAGAGGATGAAAGCACTGACTTGGTATAGTATGGACCCCGGCAGGCTTCCCATATGTACCTCCGCGCCGCGCACGCAGCGCATGCCTTCAGTGCGCTTTTCATCCCGCTTCTAATGGTTTTTATGCGTTTTTCTATCTTGACTGACTTTGTTTTTTCTGCAATCTCTTTATTTTAGGTTTAAGCGACCCACGACAGCTAATGTCTATAAGCTTTTACAAGCCTTAGAGATGTTGAGGAGCATTTAGCTAAGAAAGTTCTAGTTGTTTCCCTCTATAGTGAACATTGAGTGCATTTTAGGGAGAGCTATCTGCAAAGGTTTCTATCGCGGACCTAGCGTATCTCTCCAAATGAATTAGTTTTGTATAAGGGTTTTTAGTTCTTTTTCGATGCGGCATTGAAGCTTCTTCTTGTACAATTACGATCTCGAGCTTACACTTCTCAGGTTTATTACGACTATTGAAGAAAAACGAAATGCTCCTCTGTCTGTAGCTTCTATGATTTTCACCCATCACTAGCAGATGGTATCATACAATTACGAGATTCCAGAAACTAAGTGTTAGTGAAAGTTGTGATAGTTCTCTTTTGCTTAGGCTTTTCTCGAGCTGAGATTAGAGGGTTTCACCTCTTATTTTCTCCTATCTTCACCTAAAAATGTTTGTTCACAAGTGAGATGAGAAGCGTCAACAGAGCGCGCGTTGGCGCGCGATGCGTATGCGCAGCGAAGGTGTCTATGGGAAGCTGTCCGGGGCCCCCACTATAAAGGCTGGCCCCTCAACTCATGTAAAATGCCTACACGCATTCAATAGCCTCTTTGATGAATGCGTTTGGAGCATGTCCACAGAGGGTATTATGAAAAAATCCTTTATTCTTTTATCCTTATATTCAACGGAGTCAGGCAGATGGACTCTATTCATGATCACAAACCTTATACATACTTATGGATGGAAACCATCATGTGGATTGGACACCCTTCACATTATATCGTATGATACACATGTCTCCCTATAGAACCGAAAGGGGAGAACTTTGAGTTTTTGACAGACTCTTTGGACAATTTAATGCATACCTGCTTCGGCTGCCACAATCTGGATGACGATTGCATAAAGTCGCATGTGGTCTAAACCAAGAAAGTTAAGATGACTGTCGTCCAGTTCAGAATGCCCTTCAAACAACAAAAAACAGCACAACGCCTTCAAAGCACAACACGCACGATAGGTCACTATGTAACATGGTCACGATTTTTCGAGGCCCTAATAGGGCCGCCCTATAGTTTTGTAGTTTTGCAGAAAATAAATTTAACTACTTCAAGTTCCCCGATGTTTATAGTATGGTTTTCATTCACTAATCCTCTGCAAAAATCTCTAATCTCTCATGCATCACTGAAATTTCTTCAAAAAACCACTTATGCCAGAACGTAAAATGTCTTTGGAATTTATCAATGTGCAAAAGTTCTGTTACACCATCATTAAAAAATCATAACTTCTTGCTATCTCAAAGGATTTCAGTGAATTTGGTAGATAGAGGGGTTCATTTTCTTTGTAACTGTGTCTTTGGCACCCTTTCGTAAAGGTAACCTTTCGAGATAAATGTGGAAGCGTAGAATCAAATCAGCTTCAGTCACTGTCAAGTTGGGAAGCCAAAAGCTAAATCTTGCGTTGAAATTCGAACCGAGTAGTATCATAAGTCTTATGATCCAACTTTCCCAAAAGTGCAAACCAACAGCAATGCATTGAAGAGTTTTTAAAAAAAAGCGCCGAAATAACTAAATTTGCTGTCTCTATTGCTTTCACAAAAATCATAAATCTTCACAATTGCTCATTTAACACAAACTTTGCACAGTAAGTGGATTACAAATTTATGCTACCACTCCCGAATTTTTTCCATGTTTTCGAGTTTTGGCGACTCAACATAAAGTGCCCGAAGTTGGAGTCAACTTATTTTCCTGCCTCTATCTTGAAAGCTCATCCCTATCAAAAGGTGCTAAAGACACCATTTCATAAAAAATGACTTCCTCTGTATAACACAATTAACCTCGTGCAAAATTCCTAGAGACAGCATAAAGTTACAATTTTTTAAATATGGTTTTGTTTTTTAGCTTTTGCACTAACCTATCAATGAGTTTCTTTGTGAAAGAAGGGTCCAACGCCATTCTGTCTAGATCGGCTCCATATTATCTCACCATAGTTCTAAGCACGAAGCTAGATATTCAGATAAAGCACACACTCAAAAATACTAGCTTTGGAAAAATGCAATTTCGAGATTTTCAAAACTTTATGAAGACTTAGGCACATTATTGGCACCTTATAAACATGGCGAATCCGTCATATACTTTGAGTCGAAAAGAATCAAAACGCGGATCTACGCTCTCTGCTGAAATTGCACTTTCTAACTCAATTTGGAGGAAAGTAAAAAGGACATAGATGGGGTAAATTTTGCCGACGACTCCAATGGTACCGTTTGGCTTCTCGCTATCTCTATTCCAATTGCAAATTTTGCCCGATATTCAAAACGGGTCTCAGATTCAGCTAATCAGCCTGAAATTTTGTGTAGTGTTCAAGCCTAACACTGCTTTAGTGCCCAGCAGCTTTCATAGAATTCTAATTTAAAATAACCGGGATTTTATAATGATTGAAATTCTGGATTTCAGTCGAGGGTGCAGAGTGAAGCGATGAGGTTCGAAAAATTATGGATAGTATGTAGTTAGCACAAAAGTATGCTTGCAAAATTTGGGCTCTCCAGGCTCATTTTGAGCCGAGTTAAAGTTTTGCGAGTTTCGTGCAATATCTTGAACTGTCTCTTCCTCGCAAAGATTCACCTTTCTTTGAAAATGAAAGAAAAACGTTTCACTCAGAGCTTGTAAGTTAGAGATGCGAGAAAATAAAGCCATGAAATAATCAGATTTCCCGGTAGGAATAAAATTCGAAAAAGGAGAACTTCAGAAATGGTGTGAATAAGTAACATCAATGAAAAGATGTGATTTGTAATATGTAATATGAACATCTTTCAAATTAGTCTTAATGCTGAGGGAAAGCAAGAAATACTCTTAAAAACAATTTCTTCACTTATTTGCACATATAAGATTGCTCAAGTTAATGCTGCGAAATATTTTTATCAGCGCCTGATGAAGATAGCCTGAACCAGCAAAGAAATTATAGGCGTACTTAAGAAACTTGCAAACAGATCAGATTCTGAACGTACTAAAAGAAAAGTAAAGCTAAGCAAAGAATCTTGTTCTGTGAAAGTCGATGAAAGCGAACAACAGTATGGCAAAAAGCGGGTCATACTAGCTCATCCTATTCCGGTTTTCTCAGAAGCCGGCGGCGACAATTGAGAAACGTATAGCAATTTGCCAAAAATGGCACAGAAGCTATTTTATGTGTCTTTTACGGTTTGCTCCCGCTTGAGAAACTATTTCATACATATGTGTCTCAGATTTAATTTCGAGAACGCGTAAACATTTAATACTTCTAAGTGTAAAGATGGTACAAAACAATTTGTTCATAATAATAAAATAACTCAGATCATTATCGCTTTTCATGTCATTGTCGAGGCATCGTTGATCTCTGTGTTACGTCGACGTCTTCAAAATTGCCGTACACTCTCGGATCCAGCTTCTGTGCTTCGTAATGATCATTGTAGCTGTTCATAAAAGCAACCTTGGCAGCCGACTCGGCACTCGCACGTTCCTTCTAAACAAGCTGGAATTTCCACTTCCTTCAGCTTGACTAGCGGCTTGCTTGTTTTGCGAGTTTTGGATAGTTTTACTCAGACATGTACTAAATAGCTCCAGTTACAACAGCTTCGTGGTTTTTCGCTAACTATCGCTTCCTGCAATCCCTATTGATTTGCTAACCACATCTCTCCCAGACGATAATATTAGGTTGATGCACAATTCTTGCACCAAAAAATAAAACTAAGACCAGAAATGAATCTAAAATCTGGTAGATGTTTTAGCAAATTTAGTGACCAAAAATAGAAAAACCACTTTTTGAGTGTTTCTCTTAATCACCCTATATCGTTGCCGCATCCTCAAGAAATTCTGAATTGAGCGCTCTCAAAAAGCGAAAGATTTGCTCTCTTTATATCAAACCGGAAGATTTCATCGAACCTGTATAAAGTAACAGAATTTAAAGAAATTTTGGTGCTGAAATTATGCATCAACCTAGTAGCAGAAGTGTTACCATTCACTCTTGTACTCGGTTAGGGCATCAGTCTCGAGGTTTTGGAAGTCTCTGAGTTCTTTCAGATTCAGTAAATCCTCATAGTATGATATTTTTTGAAAAAAAAATCATGCGTTGTCCGGACTGCTTGAAGCAAAATTTATTGCTTATCGCGACAATCAAAACTGGTTAATACAGTCCAATTGTATTTTTTTTTCGATTCGGGAAATACTGGAGCTAATAATGCTAGTCCAACAGTAATTTTGCTTTTGCGTCAAAATTTATGGCCTGGTTTTCTAAATCAAGACAATCGAACTGATTGGTTGTCTGAACATAGTTGTAGCTTCCAACTTTAACAAATTTGGATATTGTTTGGCAAGATTCCCAGAATATGAAGCTATATGTATTGCATGCCAAATACGCAAACTGAAAGGGTTACTTAAGCATTTTTGAATGAATTCTTTGAAATTTTTGGTGCAAGACTTATGTTCCAGCCTAATATTAGGTCGTTCCAAAAGTAATGTCGCTTTTTTCAAACGGGCGCCACATTTGATGGAACGAAGTTTTCTAAGAGATCTTGGAGGCATTCGATGCAGCATTTCATTGTCTTTCTCATGGTTCTAGCTTCATTGCACCACAGTCAATGAGCTTTTGAAAAATTACCAAAATCTGCGACCCATGCTTTTTAAGAAGGCCAAGTTTCACAATTTTTCTAGATTCTTATAACAACGCCCGGAAGGAGTCCAAGTAATGGATGGATAGGGCAAACCCTACAGGAAACAATACAACTTTTTTCTACTTTTCAGAGCTCGTCATAATTTTTGTATTGATTTTTTGATGGAACCACCGAGTTTCAGTAGGCTCTTCTTAGACACAAATGCAACAAACTCCAATAAATCTTCGGATTTTGAAACTTACAAAGATGGATTATGGTTTGACACTAATTTTACAAACGAAATGAGCATTCACCGCTTCAAATTAGCAACTTTCGAAAATTCCGGGTACAGCCTGGGACGCCTTGAAAAACCTGAATCATGATGATTTTATCCCGGAAAACTTGATAAATCGAAAACATATAAGCATTGGTAGAAAGAGGAGAAAAAGCTGCGTCGAATGACACCCAAGTTGATCGCCGGTTCTTGTTCTGTGAGGTTTGAGTTGATCTAATATGAAATTTGACGGCATTGAAAAATTGACTCCAGAAACTCAAAAAAGCAAACTAAGAAAACGAAAAAAATTACTTTATGTCTTATAGGGTTTGCTCTATCTATCAGTCACTCGTACTTCTTCGGAGGATAGGTACAAAAATTTAAAAAATAGCCGAACCTAACCATGGCAAAAACCATAAGTCGTAGATCTTGGTAATTTTTCGAGAGCTCATTGAATATTATGCAACGTAATTACAATCGTTAGAAAGAGCATAAAATGCTGCATCGAATGCTCTCAAGATCTCTTGTAAATCTTGATTCCATGGAATGTGGCCTTCGTTTGAAAAAAGCGACATTACTTTCGGAACGACTTAATACTATGAACAATTAGTTAGCGTTTAGTCATCCCAAAAAGCTTATCTTCGAAAACTAGCTTAGTCCTATTTCAATATATTTGCCTGGTTTTGATTTGCTTTAAAGAGAAAATTATTAATTTTACCATATACTCGGAGATAAGAATGGTAGAAAAGATACTCAATCTTCGTCTATTTTGACGTTGGTTGCCAAAGATTCGGACTTTACTTCAAAACTGGGACTTTACTATAAAAGCCCATCTTTTTTGTTTTTGATCTACGAGAAGACACCAGCAAATTAGTATTCATCACAGCTCCGTTTAGATGACTGATTGGCACAGACTTTTCTTGGAAGAACAGATCGCTTTTTGGCGCATGCAAAATGTAATCGGTTCATTTTTCCACCTATCTCTGGTCTCTTTCTTAAGTGAGGATCCACAAGAAGATTTTACAAGCATAGATTCCCTCTTTCTAACAGGTTCTATGTCAAGCAAATGCTGAGTTTCAATTATGAAATAAGGTAAAGTATTTCGTAAAATAAAGTTTAAGGAAATGCACTGATGTGCAGATTTCATGATATAATAAGCCGCTAATCTGCCTTTCCGTAGGTTGGTCTGTTACGAATTTACAGTGAGGAATGAATTACATTGCTGCAATGCATGTGAGAGCCGCATAAGAAGTAAGGTTCATTTTATTTATTTAGCAGTTTCTCGATTGAAGAATGGTTAAAAGGCCGATACCATACGTAAGTTTACCTAATATCTTTCATGATGGCCAGTGCACTGGTTAAATGTTTTGTAATTACTTACATCAAACTCTGTCCTGAATATAGTGCGATAATGGCATTCTTTACTTGCTCGGAATCTTGAGAAGATCGTCATCATTAAGTTCTGAAAGTCCTACATGATTGATTGCGTTTGAAAAAGATGACCTTTTTAAAAACTTGAAAATCTGATAAGTACGGAAGCTCACATTGTATACACTGCAATCATTCGCCGTGGTTGCATAATCAGGACGATAAAGGTCTCGGGCTGTCCACAGCTCCTGAAGTACAAGTAATCGAGTATAGACAGAAGGATACTTTTCCGTTATCGCGACCCATTTTCTCAAAAAGTTCTCATGGAATACGTGAGAACGTTTTGGAATTTAGCCTAAGCCTAATTTTAGCCTAGTGTTTTTCTATAGAATCTATGAGGTTTGTCTAGTGGACACGTATCAGATGACAACTAGACGCAGGCGAAGAGATCCCTCAGACTCTCAGATACCAACATCTACCAAGTCTGATATTCTGAAAAAGTAAAATTTTTAATACCTACCGGCCACGACATAATTACTTCTTTATCAAAAATTTTCACCACAATCTCTTTTGCAAAATACAGCAAGTTGAACGGTGGAGGCACAGCAGAGGACCAATCAATGAATTCGGAATATAACACAATTCTTGTGTATTTGAATTCGGCCTCCTCATTATCCTGAAGCACGAAAAATAATGAAGGTGCTCAAAAAACCGCTGATATCAACTCACCAAAACTTCATCAGCTCTTTTGACCAAAAGCGAAACCATGAGATTCAGCAATGTTATGACTATCATACAATGGTAAAGGCACAATATCATCTGTAAGGAAGCGCTACCGAGCTCTAAATAATTTAACGATAGTTGAACAGTTGCTGCACAGATCGCAGCCTATAGGAAACATTACTCAAGCATTTGGTCAGTCTTGATTTGCTAAGCAGATTTTAGAATTTCCTAAGACGGGAGAGACTAATGATAGAATGCAGAAAGTTGTGGTAGAGTGAAGCAAAAGGAAATCTGAAAATTAAATGGCTTAGCAGACCGGCAGTCAACTCCAAAAATACTATTTGCAATTTTCGTGGTTTTTTGAGGTGAAAGTATTGCACTGTGACAACCGCTCCAGTGTTCCTCAGAAAATAATTATAGAAGTTAATAAACGACTTTTTAAAATATTAGGTTGTCCCGAAAGTTTTGTCCGTTTTTTCAGCCTATCATAAAAATACGTGGAACAAAGATAGGAAAACGCTCTAAGCACTGCCCGACGCATCTTTTCCTCCTCTTTCTGACTGTCAAGCCCATATGCCGATTACTCATTTGCTCATTGAGATAAACGCCAAAATTTCGAACCCGTGGTTTTTACTATGTCCAAGTTTGGCAATTTTTCACAATCTTCGTTTTTGACTTTTGGAAGACCTTTGATAGCACTCAGATAGAGTAAACAAAGGGCAATGCAATGCAATTTTTTGGCTTATCCAGATTGCTTTTCAGTATTTTTTAAGATGATTTTTTCAAAAGTCTTCACTTTTGCGAAGTCCCAAAGTACAGAAACGCCTCGAACACTAACAAATCATCGGATTTTGAGTTTTCAAAAACCGGTTACGATTATTCACTATTTTTACCAAGCAAATGAGCGTTTACTGCTTCGAAATATAAGATTTCGCATTTTACGATATACGCTGGGGCGGGGTCAAATTCAAAAATTATGGAAATTTTGTCGCCAAAGACCCCGCGAATTGGAGAGAAAATAGACTCACTGGAAAGAGGAGGAAAAGCTGCATCGAATAACACCTTAGTTGTGCGCCGTTTCATGATCTCTGGTTTTTGGCATCACCAAAAGTAGAATTTGATAGCATTAGGAAAATAATTCTAAAAATTTTCTAGGCTGGCTATAAATGCCGCAAAAATTGCATTATATTGCCCTTTGTTTGCTCTATCTGAGTGTCGCCAAAGCTTCTCCGAAAGTCAAAAATTAAGATTGTGAAAAATTGCCAAACTTGGACATAGTAAAACCATGGGTTCGAAATTTCAAATTATCTCAGTATTAAGTATAGCTATAGTATTATCTCACTCTCAGTATTATCTCAGTAATTATCTCATTATTACAAATTTATCTCAGTGAACAAAAGATTAATCGGCATGGAAGCATGACAGTCAGAAAGAGAAGGAAAAGATGCGTCGGATAGTGCTTAAAGCGTTTCCCTATCTTCATTCCACGCGTTTTTATGATAGGTTGAAAAACCTAATAGTATAAAAATTGTTTTCGAAAATCGATGTGCTTTTACAAACTCCAAAGTGGAATTTTTGAGCTTCAAAACATTTTTGAGATATGATAATGCGATTCGGGTATGCCTAGCTTTTACTTATACAAACGAAGAGCGATGGCGATCTCTGCCCTCGTTTGCCTTGAGGCAAAGAGGATGATACAATCGCCCAGAGGGAGAGATTTGGACATTTGGAACAAGCTTATTTCTTATATTGTAAGCTCGTGCCAGTTGCCCACGCTAATGGAGCTATCGCCAAAGTATTGCCCTCTACCTTGATCGTAACGTTTGCATGATAACTATTATATCGTAAAACATAGCACCCTGTGAAGGGAATAAAAAAATTATGCCAAATTCAATAATATTCAAATTTTACTGAAATTCATGCTATACCAAGATAAAATGGTCTTACCTCGGTAGCAAAAGCTGTAACATAATGATCGACAGGTGTAAGTTCAGGGCCAGCATTTCCATTGACTATCGTCGAGTGAATAAATGGATCAAGGTATCCAAATAGGGCCCAGTATAATCTACGTGTAGTTTGGAAAATACTAAACAGCTTTGCACCGTTTCTTTTTGAAAATTAGAGTGACGCACTTACCTACGAAACTCTCCACCCATACCAGTTTTGCTACCGTCCTCGTTGACAACGACCGAATGTAGATAAGGTTGTACAAGTAGATTCACACCAACAGCAAAAGATATCGTTATAATGCCCATTATGATTAGGTAATTATATATGGCTGAGACACAACAGCCTACTGATATCTGCAATTGTGGAGATTTCAAGAGCATAAGGCTACGTTCAAAGTTGCCCTTGTGTCGGCGCCGTGCCAGCGCCGTGCAATCTATCGACCCGCCGGCACAATTATGGCACGGCGCTGGAACGGCTTGACAAGGACAACTCTGCACGCAACCAAGATAACAAATTATTCCACTTACGACACTTCCTCCAATCCCTTTGATTAACTGAAAAAAGTAAAAACTTCTCCAAATACCCAATATGCAGCCAGTGCATATGTAAATGTCGTAAATAAGAAAATAGTCCCATGCTGGCTGAACAGTCATAGTTGTGCTCATGTTATGGAAGGAGAAAATCTTACCCAATGAATTCTGTTAAGTTCTTGCAGATCAGGTTCCATAGGCATAAGAACACCAGTGAGCCACAAATGCAATGCTAGACAGAAGATGCCGATCAGCATAAAATCGAACCTTAAATTTTGTTCCTTGGTCAAGTTCACATCCCATAGGCTGAGTCTAGAGTGACGCGTGCCAGCGCCGTGTCGAAGCTGGATCGACTTGAGGGCTCGGTTGGGTTCCTTGACGACCTTGGCACGTTGGCTATCCAGGTCGCGACCCCCTTGAATCATAGAAAACTCACCATCGCCACCAAAAGCTAAAGTAATTAGCGAATCCTTGCCGACAAAACTGAATATATCGTTCCGCTAACATTCCGAGTATATACAAATATGTATAGATTTCTAACGGCATTCCACCAGCTGAACTTAGATACAAGATAAGATTTGATAACATTTACACTTGTTCTATCCCAAGTTCACAAGTACAAGAAACATCTCTTTCGTTAGCAAGCGCCTCAGCCGCATTATTGTGCTTCGAGAAATGGTCACTCTTCCGTTGGGTAAGGAGCAGTTTTGTAGAGGGTCCTTTAGTCCCGAAATTTTTTGAGTTCAAGCTGGTCAAAATCAGAAAGAAAAACAGGTGCGTCTTGTACTCGTGAAAATGAGACATCTACGAAAAGGCCGAATTTTCGATGGCTGCCATTTCGAATCAGAGCATATTTATCTTGAGTTTGCGTAATATTTTCTATCCACTTGTAGGTCTCATGGTTTGAAGCATTATTCTGGGAAGTATTCCAAGAGGTAGGTTTATTCAGTTTGCCAAAAAGTTTCATATTACTTAGATACTTACTCAGATGGCCCGTTCTCGCGTGACGTGCGGGCCCCAGTAAGCGAGAGACAGGGATCAATGGAAACCTCTCAGGCCTCAGATATCCACGATCTTCTAGGTCGTCGTCGGCGGCTGCGTCCACGAGTTCCAGGGGCGAAAGTCGTATCCAGCTGATTTCTCAACTAGTCATCCGAACACATCTGCCCATCTCGTTGGAGGTCTTCCTTGGGGACGTTTCGCTTCGCGAGGAATCCACTCCGATGTTCTTAATGTCCAACTGTCGTCTGTTCTTCTCAAGATGTGACCGGCCCATCGAAATCTTACTTTCGCGACGCATTTCGCGGGTCACGAAGAAAAGACATTTTTCTGAAATCCGTGCTGCGAAGTCCGAGAAGATGTTGCTTGTGTCGGCTCATCTTCAAATAACTGCGCTCAAGCGCTCTGTGGGTGGTCCGTAGAGCTTTCGACGAAGCTACAGTGTCGGCCCAAGTCTTAGCTGCGTAACAGAGTGCCGGGAGAACAGTGGAGTCGAACAGGTGGGCACGAAGCTTCGGGTCCGTCATTTGGCAGGTGGCTTCCTTCAGAGGCCCGAAAGCGGCCCAAGCTGCTCTTCTCCTCCTCCTGTTAAATTCTCCCCTCAAGTCGTTCTCCAAGTTCATCGAACGTCCGAGATACACGTAAGAAAAGACGTCTCCGTGATAGGGATGCCTTCCAATTCCATTTTTGCATCTTCGCAAAGGGCGTTCTTTATGAATTGAGTCTTCTTCCAATTAACTCGCAGTCCTATCTTCTTCCCTACTTCGTTTAGTTCCTTCAGCATCGTCTCTGTTTCAGTGATACTGCTCGAGAAAAGAACGGTGTCGTGCGCAAAAAGGTTCGACAGAAATCTCCCATCAACTCGTATGCCTCTCTCGTTCCAGTTCAGTGACTTCATCACCCACTGCAAGGCCGCGGTGAACAGCTTCGGCGAAGTGTCGCCTTGTCAAACCCCCTTCCCGATCGAAATGGTCAGGGGCGATGGAATAGCTGCATCGTTGTTGTACAATCCTTGTAGCAGTCGGTTAGTATCCTCACGTAAGCTGAGTCCACCTCTTGATCGAGTAACGCTGACAGAATAGTGTTCGGTCCGACGCTGTCAAAGGCTTTCTCATAGTCGACGAAGGTTAGGACGAGAGGCAGTCGGTACTCCCGGCAGACTTCTATAACCCTCGAAACCGTCTCGATGTGGTCCATGCAGCTGAATCCTTTGCGAAATTCAGCTTGTTCTTGGGGTTAGGTTTCATCCAGTGTCCTAGAATGCGAGTGTGGATAATCTTCGTGAAAAGCTTGTACAGCCTCACAGGCATATTGAACGGTAGTTCCGAAAATCCTCCCGTTCGCCCTTCTTGAAGAGAAGGACGGTTTTTGATGTTCTCCAATGATCGCGAATTCTCTCTTCTGAAGGTAAAATGTCAAATGCGACGCTAAACCCTCATATGGAGAGTATCGTCCGGCTCGCAGAAGTTCGACGGAAAGATGATCTGGTTCTGGAACCGTGGACGTCTTCATGGTCTGCGCCGTGCGCACTTCAGCAGAGAATTCTAAGTGGTACTTCTCCAGTGGGAACACGGGCATCGGCACGGGTGTTGATGAGCGGAAGAGGTTGGTGTAGAAGTTCTTCGCAATCGATTCCATCTTATATCGGGAAGAAGTCGGAGTCTCGTCTTCGTTCAATAGTGCGGCCAGCGGTACGCAATATTCAAAGAGGTCCCTTTGGCACTTCGTGAGACTTCCTCTTCCCTTAGCTGCTTCCAGTATCTTGACTTGCCTGTACTTCCTGAGATCCTCCTGCAAAGCTGTTCTGCAACTGGCGTTGATTATCAGTCGCTCGAGATGGGTTGCATTCGGATCCTGCCACAAAAATCTTCTTCTTTCGAGCAATTCCTTGGTGGTCTTCGAAATGCGTTCCAAGTTCTTTTCAGAAGTCACTGAGGCGCACACTCCGCAGCCTCCAATCCTTTCAGAAGCCGGTCGTAGTCGTACATTGGGTCCTCCCCGGTGGGCCACTCACAACTTGATATGAGCTCCTCCAGCCTGTTACCGAACTTTTTCCTTCTCGCGGCACTATAACAGACTTTCTTTTCCAGCCTTCGACTAAATCGTATCTTTGCTTGAGGGAGACGGTGATCGGAGCCACTGCAGAAGAATGGAACTACTAAGACATCGAGCAAGCTCCACCTTCGGTTGGTGAGAATGTGATCGATCTCCGCGTGAGTCGTTCCGTTGAGCGATTCCCATGTTTGGCGATGTTCGGTCTTTATAAAGATGGAATTTCCATGAAAAAGCCCGGCGGAGGAAAGCCCAACAAGATGGTTGCCGCTTTCGTTCCGGTGCCCGTATCCAAACCTCCCGATCTATATTCCTTTTCTAGTGGCATCCCGATTCTCGCATTGAAGTCGCCCACAACAACTTGTAAAAGGACTTCTCGTTGCGGACAACCTCCTGCACGTCTTCGTAGAAAGCATACAGTTCTCACTCGTCAGCTGCTGATGCTGGCGAGTAGCAGTTAATGATGCTGAGTCTTCTGACGTGGAGGTCGTGGTCGTAGGTTGGCTAGTCGAGGCGACAGGATCTCATGTGGATCGACGAAATGGGTGGACGACAAAGCCAACGCCTCCAACGTTTCGTGATGGAACCTTTTCACCACAAATGGTGAGGGTCTCATCACTCATCTACCCACGTCCTTCTTTCTGAACTTCATTTCGTGCAGAGCGATGATGTGGTACTCGATGTGCTCTGCAGCGTCGAGAAGAGCGTGTAGCTCGCGTTTGTGGAGAGTGTCCTGGTGTTGTAGGTGCACAGCATGAGGCATACGGCGTCTCCATGGCGTGTCGTCCGGGCAGACGCGTTTTTGTCCGGTCCAAAAGGCGCCCTAAGGACCCTGACATCGGTTACCACCCGGCGCCGTAGGCCAGATCCGATGTGCAGGGTTTCTTTCTTTTCTTCTAAATTGCGGAGTTATATAAATGGTTACCTTGCAAGATCAAGCTTTCCAGGCTTACTCTTGATTTCCACGGGGCGATCGCGGACCCGGATTTGGAGCGGGAAGAACTAGCGACCAGAAAACCAGACGGCGGTGGATCTAGCCTGGCCGGCTCGTAGTTTGGCATCCGGCCGTAACCGGAAACATCGAATCCCTTCACAGCTTGGGAGGCCCCGCCAGACATCGGCTGTGCATCGCAGTTCGACCACCCAGTGTCACCCCCGCCTTGAGACAGCCGACCATTGTGAGATTGTTTGAGTTCAACGTTTCATCGTTAACAGTAAATTAAAAATCAAGAAGCATACGACCCGCGGGTGGACCGTATTATTGTCGTGGATGTGTCAAAGTAATATCAAAGTTGACCACTTATTTACTAGGACCTGTGGCGGAACAGCAAGAGGTTGTTAATGGCTAAAGAAGGTCCTTCCGAAGAAGAACCATTTACCTAAACTTTCCCTATCCTTGCATTTTCATATTTATAAAAAACGTTTCCTGGCATTCATAACTCTACGGATATACCGTGACGCGGATGAGGCGTACTATGCCCCATTGCATGGAATAGAGAAGGTTGGAATATAAATGTGCAAATCAATAAATCATAATTTGTTTTCCACCATCGGTCTATTTGTCTGACAGATGATTTTTCACCAATCCAGATCAATGATAAAAGTACTAACGATATCCTGTAGGAGTGTGCACAGTTTTGACATTATCCCCTATTCTTGTATATCGTACCGCTATTAAACAGGCTATAAAGGTAATATAACTTGCAGTGTAGCTGATATACCTAAAATTGGTGACATTTAATCCTTTATTGGACTAAGACAACATTACCTTGCCAAAGGTACTTCAAATGAGCTGCCAATCTTCCCATTTGAGAATATGTATAGCAAAGCAATTACGGGATAAAGAAAAACGTGCCTCAGAACTCGATATGAATCTCGAGAGAAGTTCGAGCCAAAGTTGCCCCATCCTATGATAGATGTAATGAACAGAACGAGAAAGTTTCAAATTTATTTCAAAGCACCTCTCCACCAGATACAAGCCATAGCTCGTTGCACATTCGGGCTGCCGGCAAAATGTGTCATATGGGCTTCGAGCGCAAGTTGTACTCTTGGATAAGGATTCGCGCATGTTGCCAAGGAGCAGTGGCATTTCTTAATGAAACATATTCATCCCTTTAGCGCGGCTTATTCGTTCTCGGTCTGTGAAATCAGAAGTCCAAAGCTACTTTTCAGCGCCGTGCTGGCGATCGATCATTACTCGAAGCGTTTGCGTGGGCTTCGGCTGACGACACGACGACGGCACAAATTTACTCTGAGCGCTACCCAAGGTTCCCACTCCATGACAAATTTCGAGATATCTGGTTTTTTTATACTCCACGGGTCTCTTTCATGAAGGGATTACATACAGAAATTCATGTGAAACTACGCAGGGCGTCCCCAAGTGCCAGAAAGGGGCTTAGTCGCCAATTAAAAGCCACTCCTGATTTGCTTCGATGAGCAAGCGAAGCCGAGTGGACTCCTTGCTTTTACCAAAGCTTATAACGTATCTCAAGGGTAGGTGTGAGAAAGGCGGGTTCGGCGTCGCCTCCAACGATTAGACTCTGACCGACCGGGAAGTATTTGAGTCCAACAAGCTATCTTCTGCGTTTCGATAGATAGTCAAAACAGTAATAATACGGGAAGCTTCCTTATTCAGGGAAAAGTCACTGGTAAGGCAGCAAGGGAAAACAAGATTTGAAGGACGATTTAGGCTGCATACATCGAGACAGACAACGATGGTGATGACGACAATATTTTTGTATATACGATGCACGTTCGCATTACGCATCCGATCTGATGACAAGAAAGAACAGGAGCCACGTTAGCGAACTAAGCGATTGTTTCTAGGAGCATGGAACAGTAAAAACTTGGTGGCGTGAAAGTTGTCAACACTTTGACCATAAACATCGGTTTTTTTCGAACAGCTAATTCCTCTACGGGATAATTAAGAATTTAAAGATGCGGTCACAACTTTGAGCATCTTTATCTCCTATTCAACGTTAAGCCATGACGAGTACGAGCTCGAGACGTCCCATAGGAACTGATAAGATACCACTGAAAAGACCACACGTTTTAATCATAGTCACTAATTTCAGAGCGAGAATCGGAGTTAGAGGGTCGCCTGCAGAACTTCACCATGAGACTCAGGGACGACACGCAACAAAGAACGAAACAGACTTTTCAAGTTCATATCAGCAAATTCACCCATGAAGCAGTTTAGCCCCTTCCCAGCTTTAGACCTGGGGACGCCTGATAGAGACTACATAACAAGATTTGACCACATCATGTCAACAGAATGTTTGCCTAACGTACGTTGTTGTTATACCAGACTTCTTAAGAGATCAGGCCACCGCTTTCTAAACGAAAAAGTAAACGTTATTAAGGGAAAGAGAGCAGTTGTATCCAGAACATCGTCCTACAGCTCTATCAGGGTATTTCTTTTCTTCGATGTCTGGCTTTTGGCGAGGAACGTTTCACCTCCACTATCGCGCGAAGGAAGCCAAGAGTCCAAGAGGTATGAGAAGAAGTCCTTTATTGGGAATTCTGCAGGTGATACACAGCGTGGACGAGTATGAGATACAGACAATTACCGCTAACTACGAGCTTGGAAGCATACCTTCGATAGTCTAGAGACAGGGCGTCAAAAGTGAAGGTTGTTTGAACATCTGGCGTTATAAATAGTGAACGTTGTTTAAAAAAGATCAGAGAAGAGAATATGACGTGAAACAGATATAAAAAGCAAAAGAAACTGCTGAAAACCGGATAAAAACGCTGTAGAGGGGTCTGAAATCTTTCATTTGGCGGCTTTACAAAGTGCAAGTTTTCGCTCCAGGAGCAGCAATTCGCAACACGGGGTTGTGATTTTTGATGCATCCTTCAAATTTTTACTCGTGCAATGACGTTCCTGTTTCCTGGGACGTTGTCTGGATTATTGCGCTTATTGTTCTGAGCAACAATCATCCAAGCTCGAAAAAAATCGATGCGAAAGCACTGAAACAGAATAGGGTAAAGAAAAACGCATTTTTTACGATTTTTCGCAAAAAATTCCACCATAACCGAAGAGGTAAGGGCTGGGTGGTTGTCTGCATTATGAATACAAGCAAGATCTATATAATGCACGAAAAAACCGCACGAAAATAATTGAACTAGGAGAAAAACAAGAGATTTTCGAAAACAAGGTTTTTGCCGAATTTCTCGACCAAATCAAAAAATTTGGTTCTGGGACGTTGTCAGCGTGAAAATAGAGATCAAGAGCTTCAAAATGATATATAGCTTGCTGAAATTGGGTTCGAAACATCGAAGAAAAGGGTACCAGAGCCAAATGCCCCGCGCCCCGCGTTTGGGGTAGCGAGATAGCGCGCAGCGCGCGGAGACGCGGACGAGCAGCGGAGACAGACCAGAGCCGACGGGGCATTTGGCTCTGGTAGTAGATCTCCGCGGGGTTTCAACGAAACCCTGCAAAATTATATATCATTCTGATCGTCATGACACGACGAGGAGAACTGACAACGTCCCAAGCTTTGAAAATCACTCATTAACGAGATAAACCGGTGTTTTCGTGCGCAACTCTCTGCGCAAGATTTAAGCGCAGTTTCTCATTTTTATTTAACTCCAATAGCTTTTTTAAACTTCTGAAACTCGATTTTGTTCAAATGAGAGGATAACTGAGAAATTTTGTCTTGAATTCTGGCGAAAATCCCACAGAAACCTTCTTTTTAAGGTGAAAAAGGCTATGAAAACACAAATTCTCGTTTCGCTGAGCTAAGCTAAACATATTATTCCCTATATTCGCTTCATTAACATTCCTTCCGATATAGTCAGGATAATAACATCCGGGGCGAAACCCCGGATGACTTCTGCTTTTTTCCAGGTGAAAGTTGTGTCCCCCCATAGCCCTCAAAGTGAAGGTTACCAGAGTACGTGGCTCTATGTATCGAGGGTATGCTTGGAAGCGATGAAGCGATTAAAAAGATTTCAAAGTGAGGGAGTAACGGTGGTTGCTCTGCAAAATCTGGAGGAAGTAGACGGAAACGTCGAAGCCCGTCAACCTCAAAAAGACGACCGCACTTTGCCGCCCGGACGAAACTTCAACTGCTTCCTGTGAATTATTGAAGAAGGTCATCCACCATTTTCACTTGGATTTCTCGACAGCAACGTCCATCTGCCCCTCCAAGTGGTCCCACGAAGTACGGTTATGTCGCACCGCCGTACATTCTTTCCTTAATTGGTGATGCTATCATGACCAAAAAGAATAGTAATGCGTCCAGCTCGACAAGAACAAATGAAGATCTGGCACTTTCGCCAGTTCTCGTCAGGACTTTGGCAAGGTTCCTCACGCAATACCCGACAGGGCAAGGTTCCAAGTCATGGAAGATCAACAAGACAGTGCTGCTGCACAAGAAGGGTTATGTATCGCTGCGACATCGGCAACTATCGCCTCATCTCTCTGCTGTCCCTAGTCTACAAACTCATAACGCGAGTCATTTTCGAAGGAATCGGAAGAGAGATATATGAAGGAGATCACGCGAGCAAGTTGAGTTTCAAAGACAGTTCAGAACGATTTACATATATAATAAGTTTTAATCAGTCTAGGCGAAACTTGGACTGGCGAGAGTCCGCTTTGCAACGATTCGCGCCGCTTTGCAGTCTGCGTCTCTTCATTCTAATCCATCTCGTTGAGTCAGTGGCGATGCGGACGCGCTGCTCCACTTGGAATATTTCGCCTACTCTGGGTTGAAAAGGACTGTACACATGGTGTCAAGGCTCATTGAATTATTAGGCTAACAAAGGGTACTGCCCTGTCGCCTTTGACAACTTGAAAAAGCCCATGAGTCGGATGAGACTGAAGTCGTCATCGATGATTCAAGCAATCAAACTATGTCACAATGCATACGTTGGATTTGAAATGGAAGTAGTGACCGGCGACTGCACACCTTTGCTTTGCTGAATGAGATGGGCAAGCCTTACGCAACGAAAGGCCCAAATAGACGGCGCCGTGTATGAAATGACCGGTCTCCTGCTAGACGTACCGGAGACGTAGTTTTTGAGGAACGGAAAAGGCTTGATGCCCTTTTCATGCTCAACGGAATGAAATTGTACGCTTAGATCACACCTATTTCCGTCGGGACATCAACATAATGAGCGGCCTAGCTGCGGAACTGAGAGGGAGGAAACGTGCAGCATGGGAAGCATATGAGACAAATCAGGACGCAGTATGATAAAGATTACCCGCGCACCTCTTCAACTCGACCGATCTTCCTGCTCTGTCGTACGCTTCAAAGAAATAGTCAATGAGGAAGCTGAATACGCGCTTAACGTCATCGATCGTTCTTTTGAGAAAATTAATTAGGAATGGACCGACTTAAACAAGTGAGAGAAGATTACGGAGTTTCATGCTACCTCAACGAGAAGACGCTAAGCAGAACAAGGTGAGGCGGACCGTGTCGATTCGCTTTGACGACAATTGGTAGACGAGAGCTCTCACAGGCTGAACACCGCAAACAACACACTGCACTTTGAAAGGAGAAGACCGCCGATAGGATGGTCAAATGTTCACGAAATCCCCTAACAACGCCGTTCGCACCTTCGTGTTCCTAAGGCCCCGGTCAGACTTCACGCGACTTAATCGTCGCGACCAAATCGCCAAGATTTCCATTCATTTTCATTTCACATTCAAAAATGTCGGTCTGGAAAAGTATCACAACCGAATGCAAGTTGATCTGCATGGAATGATGTTGTAACAGTTGTCTCCTCGCGATTCAGTCGCGACGATCAAATCGCGTGAAGTCTGCCCGGGGCCTAATGGAACACGTAAACCCCGTCAACAGTCACCCATGCCAGAGACGAATGGAGTTAATCGCTGGTACCAGCACAGTGCAACAAGCCGATAAACGAAAACAACGTGTTTACATTGGTGTTTTGATTTGACACTGAACTTTTTTCCCGAAACCAGATAGCATAGACGAAGAAAGAATCATTGCCTCACATGAGCAAGAAAAACATCAAGCTCCTCTGCTCTCCAGTTGTTATCCATGAGTCGACATGTGAATCTCCGTACGCTAGTTTGAAGAACACGAAGAGTGTCCTGAAATATGCTTTCCATGCACTTTTCAGAAGGAAATTCTCCCGCGTCTTACCATGAATTCAAAATTATCATTATGCATGTACACATCTATATCTTTAGAGAGTGAACAAGCCGCAGCGAAAGGATCGTCTGTGGCTAACCACAAGTATGCTTCAGAACATAAAGCCCGTAATGTGTCTTCCTAAACATATTGAAACTTCGTTTTATATATGCCATGATGCCGATAGATATTCTACCCTCCGTATTTCGTCCATATCACTATTAGTAACCAAAAGACAAAGTTCGCATTTACCTAGAAAAATCTGTTTTACAACTGTCAGCAAGGTAGCTGACATCTTTTACGCTCTACCGCAAAACATAGCACTTCTGAATTTCTTAACTCACAGCTAGTATGATGAGGAACATCAAGAGAGTGATTTCTATATAGTAAACATTGCACAATAGCAAAATTATTGAGAATACATGCCAACATAAGAGGAGTTATGTGGGGCAGAAATGCGGCAGAGTTTGCACATCCTAAAAAGGTGCACTGATGAGGATTCAATGGATTTACATAGCTAAGTAAATGCAAGAAGTTCTACTCCTATGACAGCAAAACGTTACTTGTGCAGCACATTAGGTCATCATATACGTCTTTACCAGTGGCGTACCCAGGATTTCGGCTCGGGGGGGGGGGGGCGCGACAAAAAATTTTTTCTGGTGAAGGTGCGTGGCGATAGCGACGCACCGAGAAAAATTTTTTGATATCCTTTTGAAAATTTTCGCGGGCCCCGGAAAAAAATTTTTTATAAGGCTGAATTGAATTTTTAAAAAATTTTAAAAATTATTTTAATTATTTACAAGTGTAGACAAGTCATTTGCACAATTTTATAACCCATGTAAGTAACTTTCAAAAATTTCGCGACCCGTACAAAATTCTGTAGTCTTGTAACAGCGGGTAGATTAGCGAAGTTTGCACAAACCTGATCTTTCTTCCCAAGGATAATCCCGAAAGAGTGTGAGGATCAACTCTACTAATGGTCGACTTCCTATACAGATAGCTATTAGAAGAGCTTCTTTTGTCATCTCGGGAGATTCCGATTCATGCAACAAGTTACAAAGATATTCCATTTGTGCCTCCTGAAGCAGTATTTAAGGTTTGCGGAACGCACATTCAAAAGAAGACATAGATCAAGATTTTGAGCAATAGCATGTGAACGCACATTGTGAACTAGAACCTTTTGTCTTCGGAAAACATTTGGGAAGTTCTTATCTGTTAAGCAGCGCAAGTAAATTACAAGTGCCGCTGAGCTCCACCAAACTTACAGTACGGTCGCTGAGCAAGTGGTGCCCATTACAGCACCTCTTTCTCGTTCTGGACGTTACAGTACCGTGCGATGTTGCGTGTTGGAGGGCCTGTTGTCCTTTGGTACTACGGGCCTCATGATTAGAGAATGTATTATTAAAACAGATTCCTTGTGAGGCAAGACGAACAAGATTGAATATAATATACCAGATTCTCGCATTCAAGTCGCTACTCATACTATTGTGCAGGGCTCGGTACGAGGTGGCTAGATGAAAATGGAAAAAACGAAGTTCCCCTTGACTTTTGGGAATTTTTACGAAGTCCCCTTTGACCCTGAACCAAATTTTTTCTAAAAACCTGAAAAATTCCCGAAAATCCCCCAAAAAACGAAACGAAAAAAAAGGTCGCCGTCGTCAATTTTCCGTATGTCTTCGCTCACAAAAACGAAACCCCCTTTGCTTTTCGTCCCAAAAACGATATCCAGCTTGCTTGTAAGCCACCTGTGCCGAGCCCTGCTATTGTGATGTGCAGATAAATCTAAATCTTCATAACCGAACACCATGCTCTACATTCGTCATCTTTAGTTTCTGCCATATTGCGATTATGCCACCGCTGTCAACGAATGTGCATCAAAATAAATGTTCAGCTCACGAATGACAACCAGCAAAATTCATTCATATATTTCAATGTAGCAATCGGTCGTTAAAAAATGATAAGGAAAGCTATCTAACTTAGCTCGGCCTTTTGGCAAGAGACTTATATATTCTGAATCAGCTTCAAACGCTGACTCCAAAAATGCTATTCTTAGCTGCCAAGCGCCATTACGAAGCGAGTTATGGGATTTTTGCTACGCAAAATTGGCATACTACTGAACATGAGAAGACTGCCTGTAGATGAAAATCTGCAAGAAAATGGTGCTGAGATGTCGAAATAGTACAAATCCATCTTTTCTCGCTAGAAAAGCTTAACGCAGGTGTATCAGCACTTAAATGATGATGACGTGCTGGCCGTGAGTCAATGAGCATGCCAATGCACAGGAAAAAGCCCATAACTCGCTTCGGAATGGTGCGTGCAGCTAGAAATAGCATATTTGGAATCAGCGTTTGAAGCTGATTGAGAATATATATATATGTCCCTTGCCGAAAGGCCAAGCTAAGTTGAGTAGCTTCCCTTGTGAGTTTTGAACTGTGCGGTCGTTCCCACATACTCAATCAAAGTTGGGTGCCAGGGTAAGTTGAATATACTCACTGTTGCGCCGACTCCCAATGCGTCGAAAATTTCTAAGATTTCAGAATCATCTCCGTCTTCACGAAATTTTTTGACCTTTTCGTAAAATTCATATTTCATGCAAAGCATCTGAACACAGTAATCTGACAGCTGCACTATGCCAATGGGTGTATGATTCAACCCTGTTTGTGCTTCCTTCATACTCTAGATGTCCATCGTAACCTTCTATTTTAGGCTCCTAGAAGAGCATTGGCTGTAAACTTGAAGAGATCCGATTCTGAAAACGTCTTACACTATAATTATCTGGAAGCTTCAATTTGCCAAGGAGTTTCTTTCCCATCACTGCAGCAGCGCTGAAGTGGTAAGATCTTTCGTGTCCATATTAGAATGAGCGGCAAACGAACTTTCGCAGGATTAATCTAACCATCTTCGGAGGGGCGATTTGAACAAATGCTCTTCACCCCCTATGACAAACAGTGCTGTTATTCAGGAGGGAAGTAAACATTTTCTACCATTTGCATATCTTCATCTTTAGGGAATGCAACAAAGAATCGGTTGGCTATCGTTCGTGCTAACCTCTGAGGACTTGTTGATGACTCCATTTCTGAAAAAAAAAAGATTTATGCAGGATTCTAATTAGACGAGGATTTCCCTAATTGCTTGCTTTAAAAATGCCTTCAATTCTCTGCTTTAGAGTTCATATTGTTGGTAAGGTCTTAATTCAGGTCGAATTTGCTCAGTTAACCTCGGTTCTAAGAATAAAAGCTTAAGGTATAACTTATACCATTTTATGAAAGTTATATGTCATATCTCAAATCTACCATGTTATACCAAAAGTTATTTTGATCAAATCCCATTCACTTTTTATTCTATATAATTTTTTTTGATCTCCGCCTTATTCACAGCAATGATAAAGCACTGGTTCTTTCTTCCTCAGCTCTTTCCGTGCAATGAGGCTCGCGCATAATTGATTTTTGAGAGATTATTGTAAAAAGCTTTTCAAGAACTCTGATTGGTGCGTAGTAAGCACTATGTTCTTGAAGTCTAGGAAATTACTTCGAAGCAGGAAACCCAACTTTTGGAGGACATATGTATCTGGGGCAAGCCTACAAAATTTTATGGTAATCAATTCATCTGCTTGAAGTGTATCTGCAACTATTTCCAAGAAAGAAGTAGCGAAAGAAACCCATGAAAACGGTTAAGTTGTTTTTGAATCAAAGCTAATTCAAAGTCTTCTTAGATCTACCTACAGACTAATAAACAAGCCTTATGCTGACACTGTTTCCTTGGAGACAACAACTAATTTTCTTCTTGAACAAAAACTCCCACTTCCAAGAAGAAATGTGACTTTGAGGCTTGTGGTTTGTGCCGATCCGACACCACTAAGCCGAATCGGAAGGATCAAATGCTCTAAAACGTAAAGTAAAACCACGTGGGTGACCTTGTTCAACAGAGCGATCGGTTTTATGATAGGACGCCGAAGTCATGAACACCAAGCCGGTTGTTGAATCAGCAAACATCATTGACTCTTGGCACAGTTACTTTTTTTTGCACTCAGCGTCACCCAGTCCCTGAACAAATCAGAAATTCAGATGATGTTATTCATAATCAGCTTGGCGCTGTCTGGTTTCAAAAAGTTCTTCTATAAAGGGTGTTACAAAAAACGTTTTGAGTACATTATTTCAGCTTTTTTTCTCAACATTGCGCGAACCTATACGTATCATTTTGTAGGGCAGTTCCGTTAGATTCACACTACAAACGCATCACTGATTGTCCTACTTTACTGTGAGATTACGGTCGCAACTTCCAAGAAGTTTTTTGCCGGTGAGAATCGAGAAAATATGAAAAGGAGGCTCACAAAAAGCTGGAAACTTTCCTGCTCAGTAAAAATGAGTAACGGATCTAGTAATGAAGCATGTGATTTGGAATACCATTACATTCAAAAATTGCCTTGGGTACATGATGATTATGCCTGTCTTCTCAACGTCCTCAGAAATTCAACCCACACCAGCCTACAGAGCTTCACAACTGTTTCATAATCAACTTACTCGAAAACCCCATGACAAATTTTTGAACATTCGTAACTTCTCCAAAAGATTTTTTTGGGTAGCATTTTTTTAAAGCGTTATTACAGTGCTAGGAATTTTTACCTAACGATATGAGAAGTATTTTGTACTGTAGATTTAACAAGGATAGTATACTTGCAAGTACCATGGTCGAAGTGGCGTTTCCATATGACATGAATATTATTTTGTAGAGCATTGAAAGCTGATTTTAGATCTGCTTTCCTGCAAAGCGCTTCTGAGAGGGGAGTTATGGGAATTTTTTGAGGTAAAAATTCAATGATTTGGCCAAGATAAAAATAAGTGGTGATTTTTTCTCGGCGCTTAAAAGGGGTAGTCACTAGGCCTTATTCCATAAAACGCCCTGGTAGTAATTATGGCCCCATATGAACTCAACGAAAGTAGATTTAAACTCAGCGTTCCATGCTCTATAGAACAATATACATTTTATATGGAAAGGCCACTTCGACCAAGTATCCATCCCTTGTAAGACAAAGCCAGCTCTACGAGTTGTAAATCTGTAAGATGTTAACGATCAACACTCGATACTTTGGAGGCACTCCCATATGCAAATTTTTTGCTTGCTAAAATCACGAAAATTTTTGCAATCTTTCCTGCGACAATTTGAGCCCTTCACTTTCAAAGACCATTTTGCAACTCTCTAATTGTCCCGTCCCGCAATTTTGACCCGGTTTCCGCAGCACTGCACTATATTAATTACCAGCAATCCACCCTCAGATACCTGTGCGTTTCGTTCGAGCAATGCGTTTAGCGGAAAATACGATTTAGGCGAGCATCGTCAATCTCAAGGTTACATGAGGCCAGTTTGGTCCACGATTTGAATGCCACCCATTCTTGTCGAAGTGACCATTATCGTCGGAATCGTGGAAGCGTTCATTAGCCTTCGACTGAATTCATACAATTTTTATAATTTTGAGCTTGAGTTAGCCCAAAAAGAACTACGTCGATTTCGAAACGCTTTCATAGGACTTCACAATCTCATAATGTACTGGAACTTGTATCTGGCTTACGCAACCAAAGATAATAATAAATTATCAATAATAAAAAAAGCGTAACAGGTGCACAATCCTAAAAGCCATATGTATGAAGTAGTGCATCTTAGAGCAGTTCGATATTTACAACGATCCTGTGGAAGATTTGCAAGTTTACATGGATTTTCCAGTGATAAACGAAGCTTTAAAACTGTCTGACTTTCTGACTCATATACTCACTCTAGTGCTGATTAAATAAACTCAAAAAAAGAAAACTCTTTGTTATCCGCCTACGAGCTCAAGGGCAAAATAGAACGGCTGTTAAATATTGGTTTTTAAATAAAGCTAAACATCCTTCAATAATCTATTTCTAAAACTTTGTTTCAAATTGTGCTTACTCTATAAGATTTTGCCGCACTCAGAAAGGTGCGTGGGCGCAAACTCATTCTTGAGTTGATGTTCATAAATTTACAATAGATTGAGGTGATTACATACCTTACATTCAGCAAGTTCCATAGCGTAAACAAATGCTAGTGCCGAGGATAACTAACTGATTCAAACCAGAACATCTTCCTATAAACAGATAGGACGAAATCGGCGTTCTACTACCTGTTAAAGTTAAGAAGTTATAATTTTGCCAGTTACAAATGGCTTATTTCTCCGCGCTTAGAATAAATCAAAGGATGCATTAATTCATACACAAAATAATTTGCAACAGGGAACACAGTTCAATGTGCCTGAGGGCTTCACTTACAAGGGAAGGATGGTTGGTCGAAGAGCATTTTGTGACCGAGCATATAACATCTTGTAAGGCATAAATCACTGATTCAAAATCAGTTTTTCTTATTTGCGGAGCATTCCTGCGCGAAGAGTTATGAGCGTTTATTGAAGAAAAAATTGGAATGGTAAATAGAATAAAAATAGTCGTAACATTTTTTTCAGCTTGAATAGAGCAGCTATAATTATCAGAACACTTCGTGCAACAAATACTTTCAGATAAATAATATATACACTCCACTGCATCATTAAAGCGCTAAGAAAATCCTAGGAACTGCTTTAATTTAGAAAACCGTTCAATCATTACTAAAATAAAAGCTCATAACTCCCCTACCGTGAACGCTCCGCAGTTAAGGGAGGAAGATTTGGAACCAACTTTCTATGCCTTTAAAGATTGCATATGTTCTGTCAAAAGGTCACTTCGACCAACCATCCTTCTCTTGTTAGGAAGATAGCTTGCTTCTTTTATATGAACGTTTTCACTCGGAAACACTACCTTGTTTTCAAGCATTCATATGAAGATTGCACACAAAAAAAGCAAATCGCTCTTTCACAAGGCTCATCATTTATTTCAACACAGGCTTAAGGGGTACGTCATCCTGTCTTACAGATTTCACAATAGTTTGCACTACGTAAAAGGAGAAGGCGCGTGAGAACACCTGTTATAGAGCTCCGACTTCTCTCGAAACACCGGATGTACAGTTTGTGAGTTGACTCTTTCATGCCAGCGCATTCCACACGGCCACCCGGGGATGATCCGCGTATCTATCTGTGAAGAGACCGACACCTACGATTACTATCCGTACCGTCTTCGCGGCGGCTCGGTCACACCTAACTCTCTCTTGCGTTACTTCCAGCCACCATTACCTACTTATTTTTCGCTTGAACGGTTTATACCGAGTACCCGAACGGGAACCACCTTAGCAAGCACTCGCATCCCTTGACTGGCTGCTACTTGTCGCGCGCGTCCGTGCAGGGGTAAGTAGACTGTCAATAGGAAACTAATAATACACTTGAGTAGTCGAACTCAGGGGGGGGGGAGAATGCAGATCCTCATGTCATCGATTTGTGATCGTGGAGTGCGAAGGTGGAGGTGTCCTGTCCTCAACTTCTGCGCCAGTCACTTCAGCGCCCCGGTCGGTCAATTCCGCAGCGTGTCAACGTAATCCACTTTATGTGCACTGACTTGCATAGGAACTAAACCCCTGACACCATTGTCCCTCCACGTTCCATTCAGTTTTTCTCACTTAATCGAACTCTAATTGCCCCTCGATTTGCGAGAGATTTTCGTTAGAAAGGATTTCGTGGAAATTCACACTTTCTCTCAAGAAAAGCCACGCGTCAATCAGGTTTCGAGGGCACGCGAAAATTCGCTTCCGTATCCTTAGTTTCTTGTCATGTGCAAATTTGTTTCATCATTCTTGTGATTTTAAGCAATTCTTTTTAATCTGTGTTAATCAAACTACAATAAACTCTGTTTCTAGCCCCAATTCTCTTCCCATACATTTTTGTCTGCATCAGTGGTTTAGTATGTGTATCTTCTACATAATTTATGAGCAAAAAGTCGAACCGGTTGGCAGTATGTCGAGTCTTAG